ATCGCGGTATAATTTGAAGCACGTGCAGTAACGATATATATCGCAATATATTATTTCTTCTGTATAATGTATTTTCCACACTATAAGGCACACTTAAAAACTTTGGTAAGCCGCACTGCTTGATGGATTGTCAGAGCATTACGGCTGCCGTAGTAAGGAGCTTCGCGGAGTAATCTGGGTCCAAAACTCCGTCCGCTTCAGGTCCCAAAGTCAAACAAACACTGAGAGTTAAAAACGGTCTAAATTCTTTCATCTTTAATAAAATCATCAGCGTTGCTGCTTTACCAGGTGTAACAATTAAGTTTAACATCCAGGCATCGATGAAAACAGATTTATTAAATTCAACGAAGTTACAAGTTAACAGGAAGTTAGCTCGCTAGTTTCCATCTAAACCTGACATACCTAGTTCTGACTGAGAGATTTTTGAAACTAATTAAAACGTACAGCTCTGCTACCTAGTTATTAATATACTGCAACAACATGGGAATAAAACAGCTGCGAGAGAATTCAACATTAATGAATCAATGTCACGGAAGTGGAGGAAGCGCAGTTTTTGGCTTTCCCCATATTTCAAAAGTGCTTCATCTCTTTGCTATGACTGTCGTCCGGCATAATTTGCAGATGATAATGGTTGTAGCCGCTGCGATGCTTTTGACCAAAACAGGCGCAGCTTGATGACATCATCAACATGCGTTATCGCGGTATAGTCAAAATCTCTATTGTTGGCCAAATTTATATCGTTTCTATCGTATATCGTTTATCGCCCACCCCTAAGTGGAGGTATATTGACTCACCAGTGGTTTGTAATTGTGCAGCATCCAGTGGTTCTGAATGGGGAGAGTGGCTTAATGCAAAGAGACTAAACTGTTAAGACGTTTGTTTTCCAAGAGCCAATTGGTTTCCTTTTCATTCTCTGTGAACTAAACACTGACTTGGTGATGAAGCAGAAACACCACTACTACCTTGTATGGTCAAGAGAAGCATGGATTTACACACACAGCCCCCGTTTACTTGGACTCAGTTTTCCTACCTACTTAACATGAATTTGCTTTTAGATTCTTGTTTGAAGGCTCATTCTGTAAATCCTAAAGGTTTATGAAGTGGTGAGTACAGTAGCATTGAGTGAATGCGAGTAGGTTTCTTCATTTTGGTTTTTTCTTTTAATGAGGATGAAGCCTGAGCTCAAGGTTAGGAAAACCCCTGCCTTTCCCAAACACCATTAAATGTCTTGATTTGTTTTTCTTGTAATTTGAGTGCAGAAATCGAACACCCTCTTCCTGTTTGCCCTTTTACACACTCATTTGGGCTCTCACTTGAACTGAATACCGCCTGTGTTTTTTCCTGTGTCGTACATGCATCTTGCTCAAACTCAACCCTGAGGAAAGTTAATGATCAGTCAACCCATTTGTATACTTGGCCCTACTTCGTTCTAGTGCTGAACACTCCCAGGCCTGAAACAACGGTCAAATTCACTACGGCAGCTTCCGTTTGCTTGAAAAACAATCTCTGAAGGTGTGGCTGTAGTAAGAATGCAGCGATGAATCAAGTGTGCCTGTGGAATTGCAGGAATGTAGGCAGGCCAGCAAATTCTGGTTTTCACTTTTTTCTGGCTGTCTCATTAATGGCGACTGATATTTTCATGTCACTCACACTTTGAACCTGCACCCTCTGCTCGTTCATACACTGCATCTTTGTGCATGTACACACAGCCCACGCATTCATCACTCTCCATTTGACCCTTGCACTGCTACTCGTCTCATGCACACAAACAGACATGCACGCAGCCAGCTGTCGTTGCGTAGCCCCAAGGAGTCTTGAGGAAGTCAGAGCTGGAATGTGGATGGGGCGGATGTGCACTCGATACTGCTGCAGCTTTTAGGCCTTAACTTTCTTTTATTCTTCACTTTGAAGACGATGCAGCATCGACATGGATCATAAAGTAAAAGCTCAACATTAATAAACTGATGTGGTCAGTTTCATGTAGCACTAACACATTTGCATTATGGATTTATCCTTTTTCTTAAATAATTTGATTTAACTGTGGGGTACAGTTCTAGGTCTTATAGCCCAGTGTCTGACGCACTGCTTTTTCAGCTAGCAGTCCAGAATGCACAATATTAGATGTATTGACACAATCCTCACAGCTGTGTGACGCATAGAATGAGTTACAACGAAATGCGTAGGGGACAACTGTGCATTGAATAGCTGAAATATTTTCCTGTTTTACTTCACTGGCTTTTTTCCATTTATCTACAGTTTCTAAGCATACAGTCTGTCATGTGTATTTATGTCTCTGATGTTTCATATTTACAGCATCATTAGCAGTCTGGTGTAAATCTGCAGTTGACAGCATCTCTATCAACAGATCACCTCCAGAAGTCTGCACAATGCATCCCAAACCTCTGTCGTGCTCTAAACACAGCTAAATCCCCCTGTGCTTGTATTAACACAGTATTAAAAGTGACCCATTTTGTCATGCACCACTTCTAGCGTCTGGATGCGCAGAGGGCGAGACTGAGAGATGGGTTACGACAGATGCAATTAAACTGCTTGAAGACAGAAGTCCGAAATAAAATGTAATGACACATATTTCTATTGCAGTACAATGTAAATGCCACATGGACTACAGAGTTCTTGCTCTGTCTAGACACACTCCCTCTAACAGTCTAATAAAGTAATGACTGCATTAAATAACACTCTCCTCTCCTGCTTTTGGCCAAATGCACTGCTGCAGTCTGTTAGCCTTCAGGCATTTGCTTTCATCACAAAATCTGCAAAATGTACTAGATGTCAGGCATATTGAGTGATGTTGACTAGAAAAGGGTACGCTGCACTCATGAGGATTATGGCTCTTCCGTGAACTGAATTTCGAACACAAAATCGGCAGTTCTAAATTTAAAAAAATAAAAATAAAAAAATAAAAAAATTTAAAGAGCAGAATTGGCCAAAAGTTGCTCTGCAGAGCAACCTCGCTGTAAGACATCGCTTATCTCTGCACGACCGTGCGGCTGGGAGTTTGTATATCTTTTCGCTTCCCGTCTGTGCTACGTCACAAAGAGTCAGCTGGTCACAGATGATGCCTTTTACTTGCCCAAAAGGGATTCTGTTCATCTGGACGTAGCATTTTGTGGGAGAAACGTTTCGTCACTCATCCAAGTGACTCCTTCAGTCTCAGCTGACTGCAGGTTTCCACAATCTTATAAACAGTACATTTGCATAATGACTGAAACAAATGTACTGTTTATACAGCTGAGAAGGAAAACAAGAATCAGAGAAGGAAACATATGGAGTAGATTGAAACAACCGTTAAAATCTGAAGTTAGCAAAGCAAATGGGTTGGGTCAATTATTTAAAAGTAACAAAGAAAAGGACTCTGTAGCTTTTATCGGCAGCCTTGGGGGTTGTGGTGGGGGCACCAAAAACTCTAAACAGACTAGTCAAACAAGTTTTTCCAAAATTTCCAACCAATAGTCTGTGATGAATTTGCATTTAGAGGCATGAATCAGTAGTTATTGTTAAGACTTGATATCGAAAAGTAAATATTTAACCTTCTTGCTGTGGGAGAAAAAAGTCTGGGATCTCTGAAAAAATGACAGGGGGAAAAAAAAGTTACTGTAGTGCCTGCTGTTGTACACAGTGTGGCTTTATAAATGCACTGAGCAATCTGATGTCTGTGGAAACTCTTGCTCTTTGGAACTGTTAGTTTATGTCAGATGTTTTTGCTTATCTGTAGGGGTTTAGGACAAATATTTAGAGTAGATGAGAGTGCATTTGCCATAAAATGTAGATCATTAAGTTTCTATAGTGGAAAAGCAGCTGTGCTCTCTTGGTTCACCTAATTTAACTACTTGACCATTTTCTAGAAGATATTTGCTGGGGGGGGTTTTCCTGTCCATCTTTATCCATTTGCCCAGTTTGTTTGCTGTACCATGCAGGACTTCTGCTTGCTAGATTATCCATCTGTATAGCAATTGACTGGTTCTAGATCTAAATGCAGGGGAAGTAGAGAAGGGGGTGGGTAGGGAGCTATAGAAAACCAGGAGATGAGTGTTTAGGAGGGGGTTGGTAGAGGGCTCTGTGGTCAAAAGGGCAAAGACACGGGCCTATGGGTAAAAGGGATGATTGAGGGAGGGGATAAATCCATTAAGCATCTGGGAACAGCTTTGTCCCGTCATAGCAATATAAATTAAATTTGATGGTTAATAAGCTAAAGATCTGCAACTCGACTGGCACGCAATCTCCAGATTGCCCCTCGTGCTTCGTTTTCGCCAGTTCTTCACCACAGCTTCTTTAACTAATGTCAAGTTCTGATTTTCCACAATTTCTGTCTGCATTTTTGCTATTGCACTAAATCTGTTAAACAATCATAGGATGATATTTGTATTACATTGCATCTGTTCAACACAAAACTATCGACAACAAATGGGTTATTTGATGCTCGTTTCCCACCGTCTCATCGCCTGTGGCCTCACAACTAGGAAACCCTTTCCTGGTTTTCAGCTCTCCAAACCACAGATTTTTATTTTTTTCCACCACTGAGTTTTAAGCTGCTGGAAGCAATTTGG